GGTCTGCAACAGATTTTTGATGATGACAGTGACAATGATGTCACCTCAGCTTAACTTACATAGGTGGGGAAGGAAACCAAATGAAACAGAAACCAAGCTAGAAGCCACAGCTCATTGCCTCCCTTAATGTACAAGGCTACACTCTGCCTGTTTATGCTCTTGAGTCTCTGGGTGTTATACACGCTCCTTCACCAGGTCTGTGAGGACAGTCCCCCATGACAATTGTAATCACCATGGTGGGGTCCCTCAAAAGGCTGATCTCTGACTCCTTGTAAAGTGGGGAAATCAAGGCCTCTAAACCTGGGACTCCCAAGGACAGAAGGATTTTCTCCTGGAGGGAAGGGATTGTGGCTGGACATCTTCCCATCCATCGCCAGTCACAATGGGGTGTACCATCCCCTCCTGGGCATATATGTTCATGCCTATGGACATATACCACCCAGGCCCTCACAGGGTCTGTCCGTCAGCTTCACTTGCACACGTGTAGAGAGGCCCTGGGTGTCACCAGCAGTGGGAGCACTCCAAAGAACCCCAGCAAGGCTGAAGAGGGAACAAGGGGTCTTTGGACCATTGCATGGAGCACTCAGCCACCGTGGCCAATACATTGGTGTTGGGGTGGGAAGGGCCTACCTGGCTGCACGGGCCTACTGCACCTGGCACCAGTGTTAGTACTTCTGGCCTCTCTGCACATCTCTTGCCCCCCAAAGCTGAGTTTTGCCACTTTCAGAACCAATGATGTTGCTCCTGAGACTTGGTGGGACAGGGTTTTACTGATGCATTTGCTATAGTTATACATTCAGCAGCACATGAAGCCTCATATCCATGTGACTCTTCAGGATTCTATTTAGTTTTTTTGTATAGGTCCAAGTGGTCATAATTTACAGAGAGGGATTAAAATCAGTTTGTCACTCACTGGGTGTAAGTGGAAAACTCACTAATCCTGAAACAGTTGCCTTTATAATAACTGTTTGCTCCAGCCTAGGTTTGTGGGGTTCTCCTAGGTGCTCCCTGCAGCTGGATTAGCATAGGAATTCCTACCCCATGACTTGGTAAATGCCCTGTGTTGTCAACCAACCAGCCTCTGCCTGCCTTGCTCCCAGTGCATTCTTGGGCTGGTTGATAGGTGATATTTATGCAGTTTTCTGTACATTGATTAATTTCCTTTTCTACAGAAGCAACACTTTCTTTAAAAAATCATGAATGCACACTACACCGTCATAGGGTTCGTATATAAGTGAACTATGTTCTGAGGAATTGAATCATGTCATTCTCAATATAGATGCTATTTGGGGAAAATATTTTCCTCAGCGAATTGTGTTTCAGAATGATGGGATCATTTCTCTTCTTTTCTGTCTTCATCTTCAGGACCTTAAAACACTTATTCCTTAGAACTCTGTAGAACAAGATAGACAGATATTATTTATTTATTTTACAGAGGTGAGAAAAGGAGCTGTGGAGTTTATGGAATTAGCTCAGGCAAGAGCTCTAGATGGCTAACTCACAATCTATTCCAGTCTGCCAAGGAGAAATAATAATAATAGTAGCAGCAGTAATAGTCACACCAATGACAGCTGGCCTTCCTTCTTTCGTCCCATAATGACCTATGGCCTATGTAAGGACTACTGTTATTCACCTTTCCAGGCTCATACAGCGAGTCATTCGCCCATGGCCAGGCAGCTAGGGAGCTGGGAAGCCAGGATTTGAACCAGCCCTCTCTGACCCTACTAACTGCCTTCTAGTAAGTTCCATGTAGGTCTTAGAAGATCTACAAGACCGTACAAGACCTTGCCAGGGGGGCTGTTGGCGCTTCCACAGAGGGTCTGATATCTCCTCTGCAGATGCTGGTGAGGAGCCTAGTGAAGTGCCCTCAGGGACGTTCAGGAGGCACCAGGCTGGTGCAGGCCTTGGCCCCCAAACCTCTCCCTGTCCTTTCCAATCAGATCAGTCTGTAATTCGGTGGTTGGGTCTGCAGAGACTTCTAATTAAAAGATGGATTTTTTAAATGAACTTTTATTAATTCAGCAGTCTGCCTGAATGCTGAATTGTCATTTTTGCTAATAGACAAAATGGTTTGGTTTATTTTCCAGAACAGTGAAAGTCACTCAACTTAATTAAACTGTCTAAGGAGATTTTCTACTTGTCTTACTCAACACAGGCCCAGGAGCTTGCTTCAGAAAGCCTGTCAGCCACAATGGCAACTCGAGTCGAGCTTTCTTTTGAAGTTGGGGTGGATTTGGTGTCAGCTACTTCTAAATTTCCCAATGTGGTCTCTAGTGGCACCGACCTGAAGCAAAACACATGATTGCTACATGATTTCAGATTATTGAGAAGGCCTCCAAGTCCACAGGGGTTTCTCCCACTGCCCCTAGGCAGGGTTAGCCCAAGAATGGTGGAGCATAGTATTTATTTCCCAGTGGCTTAGAACTTCATCATTGCCTGGATTTTAGACTCTAACAGAGAGCACCCTGAAAAGAAAACTATTAAAAATTAAGACCTGCCAAAGAAAATACTAACTAAAGTTGGCAGTACATTAAAGAAGTAGTTTTCATGAGGAGGTAGGAGTTATCTTAGTGATGCAAATATTGATTAATAGTAGAATATCTACCAATGCCATATTTGTAGAAATGAAACTCCAAGGAAAAAAGTAATGTGAAAAAAATTTTTAATGTTGAAAGGAAGGGCATCCCCTGATGTCGCAATGACTCTCAGGGCACCTGAGTGGCTCAGTCAGGTAAGCATCCAACCTCAGCTCAGGTCATGATCTCATGCTACATGAATTGGAGCCCCACATCGGACTCTGTGCTGACAGCTCAGAGCCTGAAGCCTGCTTCAGATTCTGTGTCTCCCTCTCTGTCTGCCCTTCCCCTGTGGTCTCTCTCTCCCTCTCTCTCTCTCTCTCTCTCTCTTAAAAATAAATAAACATTTAAAAACTTTTTAAAACAAGACACCAACTTGAGTCCTGGGGGTGACCAGGAAACATACATGATCCATAAAAATCACATCTATAACCATGACCATTTTTATTTTACACACTTGCTTTTGTTTAGTTATTTATTTTGAGAGAGAGAGTGCACATGTGAGTGAACACACACAAGCAAAAAGGGACAGAGAGACAGAGAGAGCTTTCCAAGCAGGCTCTGTACTGTCAGTGCAGAGCCCAATGCATGTCTCGATCCTACAAACTGTGAGATCATGACCTGAGCTGAAATCAATAGTCAGATGCTTAACTGACTGAGCCACCCAAGCACCCCAACACATTTGCTTTTTAAAAGGTCCTGCTTGAAGGTGTTATGCTTAGCGAAATAAGTCAGGCAGAGAAGGACAAATATCATATGTTTGCATGTATAGGAGGATTAGGAGGAACTTAACTGAGGACCATGGGAGAGAAGAAGGGGGGAAATTGTGGGGGAAAGGGAGAGAGGCAAACCATGAGAGACTCTTGAATGCTGAGAAACAAACTGAGGACTGATGGATTTGGGGGGGGAGGTAGATGGGCATGGAGGAGGGCACTTGTGGGGATGAGCACTGGGTTATATGGAAACCAATTTGACAATAAACTATTTGTAAAAAAAAATAATAATAATAAAAAAATAAAAGGTCCTGCTGAAAAAAATAAAAGGTTGGGTGAATAGCTATTATCAATAGAATGATGCATGTGATTTGCAGATAATATAATTTCATAACTAAAAAATCATAAGAATTTATTGATAATCTCTTAAAATTAGTAAGAAAGTTTTAAGTAGGCAGACACAGGGTATACTTGCAAAAATCAATAGCTTTCCCAAATATTCACAGTGACTAGTTAAAAGATACACTGAGTCTTTTATTTGAATAATAACAATAAAAATTGGTAATATAGCATATTAAAAGGATTGATTTTGACAGTGCACTCCTCTATATAGAAAACTACAACATGTATCTAAATATATATTAAAATATTTTTTAAAGTAGATGTTCTTGGATAGATGACAGAAGCTTATTTTTAAATCATCTTTCCAATTTAATTTAAAAATCTATAGGATCTATTTTTGGATTTACCTGAAGACCTAAAATATTTTGAAGGAGAGCAATAAAGGAACATTTTTCCTCTCCTCTATACTAAAATGTGTTTTACATTTTGTGAGCGCTACAGCATTAAACCAGACAGACGAGTGCTACACAGAACATTGCCAGAAACTACTATCAGGACATGAGCCTTGTCTCTAACAAAGGGAACAGGCTTGACCAAGGCAGAAGGGAAGGATTTTTAGCAAAGTGCATGGGGAAATTGGTAAACTACTTGAGAAGACTCAAGTTAGAGCCCATGTCACTGTATATATAAAACCCAACTGAGGGCAGATGGGGTGAGGGAGAGGGGAAGGGGGGTGATAGGCATGGAGGAGGGCACTTGTTGGGATGAGCACTGGGTGTTATATGGAAACCAACTTGACAATAAACTATTAAAAAATAAATAAAAATTAAAGTAATAAAAAAAAACCCCAAAACAAACAAACAAACAAAAAACCCTCCCTGCTCTCCTCCCGCTTTCCCAGACCCAAGCCAGCCACTCACAGACAGGAAAGTGGGAGCCGTCTGCCCTTCCTTCCATGCTCTTTCTTGCTGCAATTGCAGCTGGTTATGTGAATGCCCCCAGAGCCTCATTTTGAGGAGCAATTGCTATAAATCCAAGATGCTAGCGGTTAATAATAAGTCTGAGCTTGCCTCAGATGCAAATCCTAGTCTTGATTAAAGATGGAAAAAGGCAGTCCTGCTGTTCCTACTGCTTAGCAAATGACTTCGCTTTTCCCGCTGTGCAATATGAAACAGGAGCCTGAATGTAAAATGCAAAACTTTAACTCCTAGAAGGTAACATGGGAGAAAATCTAAGCAGCTTTGGGTTTGGTGCTAATTTCAGATAGGACTCCAAAAGCACCCTCCATGAAAAGCAGAAGATGGGAAGTTAGCTTTATTAAAATGAAAAACTTGGACTTGTTGAAAGACACCATTAAGAGAATAAAAAGACAAGCCACAGACTGGGAGAAAATCTTTGCAAAACACAGATGCGATACAGGGGTGTTACCCAAAATATGTAGAATTCTGTTAACATGCTGCTGGAGAGGGCTTGGGAGATGCTTGCAGACAGCAGCTTCAGAGGAAGAGGGAAACGCAGGGGAGAGTGAGTGGCCTTCACAACAAGAAGAAAGGAGCAACCAGGGCTGTCATAGTCCACTTGTGGGAACCCAGAGCACAAAGAGTTCCAAAGGCAGCTCCTAGAGGAGGGATGCCAGCAGTTAATCCTCCTTTTCTCTGTTCGACTCTTCTGGGCACTATGCAGGATTTTAGGAACTGAGTTAGGCAGAAATGACAGTGCCAGGTAATTGCTCCTTTCCTTTCTGTGGATGAGGCCCCAGGGTGTCTGCTGGGGCATGGACCGGGGCACACACCCATGGAGTATATAGAACACTGTGGAAAGCACTGTGGTCCCCACTCAGTTGGCAGTTGAGTTGAGGGTTCTTATGTGGGTGGAAGTGAGCAGGGAAGATTGAAAAAGGAAGGTTTTTGGTTGGAGAAACGTGCTTGTGATGATACAACCAGGTGGGCCTCCCAAGGAGCTGCCCCCTATGGTGCTGAGGTAAAGGAGACCCAGTGGAAAGAAGAAGTTTGACAGGAAGCTGGCTGGACATGGGCTGGGGAAGCATGAGGAGGCCAAACGGTTCCAGACCTTCTGTCCTGAACCCGTGTGGGTGTTGCTGCCTTTGGCAGAAATGACAAATGCAGGAGAACGACACAGGTGTTTGCATCTGGAGGGACCTTCAGAGAACAGATTGCCAGTTCAGTTGAAGGCAAGTAAAATCCATAGAAAGGAATTTAAATAGCAGATAAATTAATCACCTGGAAGTATTTTTGAGTTACAGTTTCTCTTGTACAGTATTGTGTCTGTGCTAAAAGTACTCTGCAGGGAAAAAGCAATGCTTAAGTCAGAGTTAAGAATTATACAGGTGATGGGGCGCCTGGGTGGCTTAGTCGGTTAAGCGTCCGACTTTCGCTTGGGTCACGATCTCGCGTTCCTGGGTTCGAGCCCCGCGTCGGGCTCTGTGCTGACTGCCAGCTCAGAGCCTGGAGCCTGTTTCAGTCTGTGACTCCCTCTCTCTCTGACCCTCCCCTGCTCACGCTGTCTCTCTCTCTCCTACCTAGAAATAAAAAAAAAAAAAAAGAATTATACAGGTGACATAGTTCTTGCATCAGAAAGTGTCTTCAGCCAACAGGTCAGCTTCCCCTTGGCCAAGGTGGTCTTGCCTGTGAGGAGAGTATCCCATGCCACATGCCTAAAAATCAAGTGTCTGTGACATCAGAATCAAGGCAAATGGCTTGATTATATTCTTCTCTGACAGTTTCTCCCATTTGCCAGCCTGATCCATGAATAAAGTATAAACTCTGCATACACTCTGTACTGTATGCATACTGTATATAATCTGTGTAGTGTAAAGCCATTTAGACTTGATGCCAAAAAAGTTAAACTACTAATATTGCACTTTGAAGATTTTGGAAGTAAATGAAATAATGTGATTGTATTTTCACAAGAGACAGCCTTTAGCAAGAATAAAAAAAAAAAAAAAAAACCCTAGAGAAACAGAATGCCCAGGTCTCTGGATATTAATTCCCTCCCTTGGAAGGCCTTCAGGAATCCCATCCATGAGGTCAGCAAGAAGTCCTCAGTCATTCTCGTTTATTGCCATCTGTCATCTTGATTATTTGTTGGGATTTCATTTAGTGATCTGAATCCAGAGATTGTCCGTCAGCATCAGGAGCCAGGGGATGACCTTGTATGGCTGCCTCTGATACTGTCCCAGCCTTCCTGCATTTGATAAATGACACACCCCTCCTCCCACTCCTGGGAGAAATGAAGTACAGGCTCAGGGCCTTATCGATTTTCCATAACAACAGATGCATCTTTAGGACTCTATTTTTATTTCAGAAGTGGCCTTCTGGCCCGATTCAGGTCTGTAAATCAGCTGACAAAATGTATTGCTACTGTTCTTCCTGGCATGATCTTTTATGCCATGACTTTTTCTTATATGTGATGTGGAGAATATCCTTTGGGTTCAGGTACACACCCTTCTTCATTGGAAAGCATTTCTGAACTTTAATTTCAAAGATGTTTTAGAGAGGAAATGAAAGGACCACAGCCCTTGATCCACTGTTGCTTGACAAGTCAGGCTCAGAAAGCTACAGTGTGCCCCAAATGTGACTGCACTCAGGGCGACCAGCTGCATTTCTTAGCCCAGTTGGGGTAAGGGTGAACATTTCCACCAGCAGGGCAGCGAGTTGCTCTAGAGCTTTTATGCTCTGTAAGAGCTGTCCATGGATAAGTTCAGACTTACCAGGTCATTCCCATTGTGTGACAAGGAACTGTAAACCATGAGTGTCTTGAGTGTGAGAACTAAACCAAGTTGATCTGTGTCCCCGGACATAGCCCCGTGCCTGGCACAATCAACTCCTGTTGGCTGGTTGAGGGAACAGGTGGCCTTGGTTGCCAGCACCAAATATCCTTAGGAAGCAAAGCACTATTGATTCCCTGGCTGTAGAACATTCTGCTTCCTCCTTTAGAAAACCACTCTGCTGGGGCGCCTGGGTGGCTTAGTTGGTTAAGCGTCCGACTTTCGCTCGGGTCATGATCTCACGGTTCGTGGGTTTGAGCCCCGCGTCGGGCTCTGTGCTGACTGCCAGCTCAGAGCCTGTTTCAGTCTGTGACTCCCTCTCTCTCTGACCCTCCCCTGCTCACGCTGTCTCTCTCTCTCTCTCCTAGAAATAAATAAAAACATTAAAAAAAAAAAAGAAAACCATTCTGCTGTCTTGGAACATGTTTTAGTCTTCTGAGGATGATGTGGCATTCCCTAGGCTTCTAACAGGCCCAGGCCAGGTTCACTGACTGGCTATCCCTGAGTGGAGAGATCAGAGTCCAGGGAGGGTCAGAGCTTGGGTTGCCTCATTATTCAATGGCTAACATAACTGCACATGGGGCTTCCTTTCTTGCCAGCATCTGATGGGTATAAGCGCCTTCCTCAGGAACGACTGACTTCAGGTAGGACCTCAGGTTAACTGCTTGTTGCCAGAGTCTTTCACTCTTGTCCATTTTGTGCACAACTCTTCTTGGCTTTCTAATTGTTCCACATCTATGTTTGTGGACCACCACCTCCTGACTGGCTTTCCTGACATCTCTTTTATGTGTTTCAAATGGCTCCTTTGCTCTCCGTTCTCACAGATATGAACAGAGAATGTTCCTATTCCTTTCTCTCAGTCTTAGCATGGGTTCCCCAAGGAGCAGACCCTGGGCTAAGATGCAAGTGCAGGAGGCCTGGGAGGTGAACCCGGGAAGGGCAGTGGGGAAGTGAGATAGGAAGGGAAGGAAATCAGTACAAGGCGTGTCAACGACCAGTTGGGTTCAGTCCCACTGGAGAGCTCTGGGAGGTGGTTTTTAACCTGCAGCACCCAACTGTCATTGGCTGGGGCTGTCCCTGGGGCATTAACCCTCAGCTCTCCAGTCTGTTCCACTGTCCCAACTGCATAATGGGAGACAGCCTTCGGGTGGAGATTCTCAGGTTCTTCCTTGAGGACTATAAGTGCTCAGGGTGCACAGCTAGGATGTTAATGGGCACGAGCTACACTCAGGTTTTGAGGATCTTCAAGGAAAATTCTAAGGGGCTTTGGCTTCCATACCTGCTTGCTTCGTGGACTGGGGTAAGCAGCCCAAACTCTGTTGGATTCAATTCTCCCCTCAGAAAAACAAGGACAGTTGTGGTACACACTCATATCATGGTTGCCAAAACTGCAAAATGCATATAAAGAGCTTTCTCTGGCTAAGGAAGTTCAAAAACATTTTAGCCATTAATGGTGCCATTACCATACTTGTCTTTTGTTGATTGTTTCAGACTGAAATTTGCTCAGTGCACTGTGATAAGGTGTCTCCAAAAATATGCCTCAAGAAGTTGCAGTTACTAGGAGATAGGAAGCATGAGTGTCTGGCCTTAAGATTAGTGAGCTAGGGAAAGTCATTTCTCCTCTCTGGGCCCATTTTCTCATTCGGGAATTTGAGACTAGACAAGGATTCTAATCACTGATGAGTCTATGGAATGATTATTCATGGAAGGCTGTGCTTTACTCCCCACAAGACTTTTCACCTCCCAAATTCATTTTCACACACCTTAGCAATGTTGCCTTGGGAACCATATTACATCATTGGACACACAGCTTCCTGAATTCTGCTTTTTTCAAAAAGAAAAAAATATGGTGCCCAGTTTGAGATACACTATTGTACTGCCTCATTAGGAACTGCTTGGAAGGTCACTTAGCAGATAGGTGGTGGAGTCCTTAGCTCTAGACTTGGTTCTGTGCCTTTGTCAGACAGCTAGTCCACTTAGCTCCTAAGCCCCTACTGACAGAGAGTCCAGAACATTCTATAGACCTCACACTCAGTTGCATGTGGGTCTTGGAGAAGGAAAGGTTCCCAAGAGGAATGTCAACTTACCTGAGCTCCCTGGGTTAGTGGACTCAATCTGAGAGCTACATTTATTGTTTAGGAACATTTGTGTCATGGGAGACCTATCTTTCCTGGCACTAGGGCTCTGGTGCTCTTCTGGAAGGCTTTGACACAGCACAGCTGAATTTAGTAATGTAAGAATAATCCAGTAAAATTCAACAACTGAATATTGACTACCCTGTTTAATAAAAAGCATCTGAAAATACTTTGGGTTCTTTTTTTTTTTCTTAAATAGTTTATTGTCAAGTTGGTTTCCATATAACACCCAGTGCTCATCCCAACAAGTGCCCTCCCCCATGCCCATCACCCCCTTTCCCTTCTTCCCCACCCCTACCAGCTCTCAGTTTGTTCTCAGCATCCAAGATTCTCTCATGGTTTGCCTCCCTCCTTCTCCCCAACTATTTTTCCCCTTCTCCTCCCCCATGGTCCTCCATTAGCTTCCTCCTAATCCACCTGTATGTACAAACATATGGTATTTGTCCTTCTCTGCCTGACTTATTACACTCAGCACAACACCCTCTAGTTCCATCCATGTTGCTACAAATGGCCAGATTTCATTCTTTCTCATTGCCATGTAGTATTCCATTGTATAGATAAACCACATCTGCTTGATCCATTCATCAGTTGATGGACACTTAGGCTCTTTCCATGTTTTGGCTATTGCTGAGAGTGCTGCTATAAACATTGAGGTATATATGCCCCTATGCATCAGCACTCCTGTATCCCTTGGGT